TTGCTCCTGAGGATGTCACTATTCACAACTATCCAGTAAGTTGACAAAAGTTCCATAATTTATCATGTATGTTATTTATTAGGAAGCAAGGGTGGCACAGTGGTAAGAGGACTTGACTTCCACCATTGTGGCGGGCTGGTCAAATCCCAGCATTGAACCCAAGTGTGAGTTTGTTGTTGGTTCTCTCCTTTGCCCCGAGAGGTTTTCTTTAGGTATTCCGGTTTTCCCCGTTCCTAAAAAATTCCAAATTCCAATTTGACCAGGAATCAGGTGGATGGAGAACCACAGAGTGGGTGTGCTACCTCTTTAAATCTATTATTTATTATTATCATTTTTTTTTTTTTTTACTTTTTTTTATAAGACATTTCTTAACAAACATATTGCTCTTGATACTGATGTATTTTATCTCTCTCATTATGTTTTCTGTTATAAGGCAGTTCCTGAATTCCAAGAAAAAGAGAAGGTACTGGCCTGGTAGATCAATGCCAATTAGCAGTCTATAAAGAGCTGCTTTAGTCTAGTTTTGAATAGTACAAAAGGGTTTTAGTTGGATGTTGTAGAGAAAATGTATGTTGAATATTGCAAGGTTTTTTAAAAGATAATAGTTGACAGTATTGTGTGACTACCCATGAGTACATTTTTTAAAGAATTTATTATTGTGTTAAATATAATTATAGCAGCTATTGGATGAGATTCATGAGTATGATCTGAACAATAAAATTATACAGCTAAATCAGTAATGCCAATTCTGCATTTAATTTGCAGGTGATATTAGTTTTTCCATCTGAGGTGAGTGAAACGTTACAAGATTTAAAGATGTAGATGTATGATCTTGTGTCTTACATGTACAGCTTCATGCTAGCCTTGGCTACACATGCCAGTCCACTATATTTGGAGGAAAAAAACCAGACTGCTCACAGTCTATACTAGTTTGGCAGATTACTGTTTCAAGTGCTTGTTTTGACTGTAAGTCATTTTTATCTTGTTGCCACTGGTTCCTGGTTCTTTGAAAATGAGGAGGGGGCTGATCTGGAATGTTTGTAAGCCTGAACACCAAGAACTGCAAAATGAAATAGAAGAAGACAATATACTTGTATGTAATTGACCTTGGTTCCCTCTATTCAGGGGCATAGCTACAGGTAAAATTAATTTCTTCCAGAGGTATGCACAGCTTCCAAATCAACCCTATTCTGTGTTCCAAGTGTTTCACTTAAGACTTGATTAAATTTTTGTTTTGTATCAGGGAGTGTGGTAAGGCAATCACCTGGCTGTTGGTCTTAGAATTATAGCCTTTTTGCATGTGGCAAAATCAGGAAAAAACACCAACACATTTTGTTATGAAAAGGTTATCTACAAGAAGTTAAAATAGAGATACATACTAGGCAACTGCTCTTTTTTTCAGCTATCCCTTATTTGCCATCTGTTTCTTTGCTTTTTATTTCTCTTTTAATTTTGGTTATAATGCTTCATGTATGGCACATTCAATATACAGTGTACTGGCATACAGCTGGCTATGTCATTGCATTTTGAATACACTCAGCCAGTGCAACCAAGCTCTCCATTTCAAATGGCAAGGAAAGCAAGGAGTGCAAGAATGACACAAACAAGTGGCAAAGCCACAAGGCCTAGGGCGAAGCATGCTAACTTTTCATGATATCCCCCAAATGGGGAGCTTGCTCACAGGCGAGAGTACAGGTACACTAAAATTAATAAAAGTAAAATAAATCTATTTTTGTGTAAAATTATGATACAGAAGTTGCAGGTTTTTTAATCACACAATCTGCTGGTGTCTCAGGATGCTTTCTCCCTCAAAATGATTGGTCAAGACCTTGACCAACAGGCAAAAGAGCTGTCAGATGCTAACAAAACTGCGCTGTTTGAAAGAGTTGTTTTTATCGACAGTACATGGCAACAGTGTCACCAAATAATAACTGTAAGTAAGTTGTAACTACTGTGTGTTGTTGTAAGTAGTGCAGTGAAGTCCTGCCATTATAATATTAATACATCCATAAATGATCAGTTAAGCACTGGGCCACTTATTTCATTTTCCCTGTTAAAGGTGTGGCGCCTAATCGAGAGCGGTGTGTATTTCAACTATGGGTAAAACACTGAGAGGAATATAGAGAGAAGTGAGTGAGGCATGTACTAGGTAAACGCAATTCAATACAAAATTATTTCGAATGAAACACAGTTGTTATCCTAAAAGTGGTTCTCAGTCTCCATGAAATTATTGCTGCTCAAATAAAAGAGCTAACATGAACACAGTTTCTCAGTCTCTCTGAAGGTTAAATCATTTTCCAATTGTTTTTACCTCTTGTAAGCGACCACTTGACGCATTCTCTGACCTCTATGTTCGCAGTGTGCACTATGCTAAGTACTTAGAACATACGAATAACTAACTTTTGTGACAACATGGAACTACAAATAGCGTAACTTAGAAATTGCATGCAAAAAATTTTCTTCCATTAAGTAGATGTGCCCGGACCTCTTCTAGGAAAAGGCCCCCTGTGGTTCGATTATTGTAAGTGACCACCTCCCGTAAGCGACCACTCAGTCTTTGCACTTCCAGAGGTCTCTCACAGCAGAGGTCTCTCACAACTTGCCTCGTCGTGAGAGACCTCTGCTAGCAGGGAATCTTTGCACTTGGGTGGTCACTTACGGGAGGTTCGACTGCAATTCACTTTGCTAGAACAGCTTTAAAAAACAGCTTTTGGTATCCCATGAATTTATTAGGAATTTTATGCAATTTTTCTTTCAGTGTTTCTAATCTGAAATGTAAATTTGCCCCAAAAAACTTCACTTGCCTGTTAGACAATCATAAAATCAACTAATCCTGGCTATCTGACACAACTTTCTTTGCCACCATCAAACAAAATGCATTTTTCCTTTTCAGGACAAAAAATTAGATGGTCTCAGAAGGGTCAAACTTGAAAGTGCTGTGACACATTTTTGGAGGTATGCAATTGTAAATTGATGCAGTCTGTAGTGTATTGAATTGATGCCATTTATTTTAATGTTCGAAATGTGCTGCAGACTAATATTTGGAGATTCATGGAGTTGTTGACTTCTTTAGGCCCCAAAGGAATAAACCAGACACTTGCCTAGCAACCATTGAAGCAATTTATTACTTCTTCAAGGAATATGAACAACATATTTTAAAAAGGTACATGACCTTTATTCCCATTATTATAATTTTTTGCTCTTACTAGTAATGTTTTCAATTCTGAGTGCGATAGATTTTTTGGAAGAATAATGTATTTACTTGAAAGCAAATGTAGACACTGACTCAAAAAGGAAGTTCTGCTACTCCAAAGTGTTGTACCTGCAAAAAAGCCTAAGTTAGGACGCAGATTGTACCATCCATCTACACTGCTGTTCCTTGCAGAAAAAAATTGGCATTTTGAGAAGAAGAGGCAAATATTACAAGACTGTTCCACTTGTAATATGACATGCAGATTTAGTTCTCATGTGAGAATACCATGCCAATCCATTAGTACAACAAATAATTATGAATACTAGTTTAAGGTACATATTAGGTACTGTAAAAACTAGTATGATCAGGGGAACCCAACGTCAATTTTCGGAAAATATCTGTTCGGAAGACGATTTGAGATCTAGAATTTTCGGAACATTTTTTGTAAAATTTCTTGCTTGCCTACCTCTCCTAGGATTTTCGAACATCTAAAAATTGGTGTAATTGCCCATTTTTAACGGATTTTTACCCTAAAAAGCTCACCTAGAATTTTCGGGAGCCTTTTTAGTGGCTGAAATTTTCGAAAAGGTAAGTTTTGATCCCTTTGATTTTCGGATCTCGAGACTTTCAGCTAGGAAATCCGAACAGATGAAAAATTTGTAGGGGATAAAAATATGCCTACATCTACCGTTTAAATACTAAAATACGTTTAACAAAGCTATGTTTTAAGTGGTTTTGAACTATATTCTCGTTGGGTGCCCCTGTATGATTAAGTGGACTTCATTAAATAGAGTTTAGCATCAGTCTGTGAAGTCCCATATAATCACTACTCACTGTTATTAAAACTCCACTGACTACAAAACCAGGAAATTTACTTCCCAGAGAGGCTGGTTCTGGGCTATCATACTTTTTCCTTGGCCAAAAGGAGCTGTTGATTCGAGGATATTAAAAAAGATATAAAATCGCTTCCACCGTACAGCTCTTTGCAAGCTTCACTATCCTGACAAGATGACCACCCTGGGTGAAAACTAAGACTTCTAAGGGCCTGTTTACATACAAGTGGGGGATCTTAGGTAGGTGAAGAAGGTAACCGGCCTGTCCATATAATCTCTCATTTTTGTTTGATCACGTTTACGTGATAGGTGGGGTGACCGTATGAGAGATTATATGGACAGAAGGGTTACCTCACCTTCATGGGGTCCCCCTCCTCAATGTAAACAGGCCCTAAATTTTGCAGAATTATAATACAACCTCGTCCCCTGGGCGCTTTTCCCTGGCTTTGGTACCTTTTCCCGCCCCTCCTCCCAAGCCAGGGAAAAGCGCCCTGGGGACGAGGTTGAATTATAGTTTTAATATTAAAGACCTTCAATGCCAAGAATTGTTTCTTTCATATAACAAGTGCAATGCAATATATAAGCTTATCTACAACAATCACTGTTCTTATTGATTTTCTTAGAGAATATGATGGAAAATTTGACAATCTGTTGTATTTCTTTGCCTTCCAATACAACTTGATACAAGAAGAACAACTAAAAAGGCAAGTAGTGCTTTTAATCAGCTATATGATTATTATGTTATTGTAGTGATTGCGTTTGTGTTTAATGTTTTAATAATAATTGTAAGAATAAGAAATTGGATTTTTGAAATGGGCATGGCTTCCTCGAAAAAATAATCGGGGTAACAATGTTTTATCGAGAACTTTTCTTAAAATAGGTTTTCAAGCTAGAAAGTAGTATAGTAGGGACCGAATTATCCTTTTTTGGCATGAGAATCTCATATACGCGCGGGGGAATAAATTAACATCGATGGCTTCATGGCCTTTTGTTGTTATCTCATGAATGAAATGCAATGGAATCTCGTTAACATAAGGTCATTTTTTTCAGGTGGTTTTGTTTAACCGGTTTGAAAGTTCCGTTTTCAAATTTATCCGGCATAATGTGGACGGAGCCTTAAGTCGGATAGTTCTCTGACGCCATAACCAAATTTTTTCCCCATCCATATACCGTAAACCTACGTTTATAAGCCCTGGGCTTACACAACCTCTTAAGGGGTTTTAGAAGGGCTAATAAACGGGGCGGGGGGGGGGGGCTTATTTCCTGGGGGATTACAAACGTTCTAAAAAAGAGTTTCAAACAAACCAGAAAGCAGCTACTGATCAAAATAGTTTCTGAACTAACTGGCTTTTTTAAAGCCTCAAGACGTCGTAAAAAATCGAATTCATTTCAATACCAGCTAGAGGGGGCTTATATCTTGATGAGGCTTGTAACCGGAAGTATTTTGTTGTTGTTGTTGTTTACAGGTACAGTGAAACCTCAATTTAACGAACCTCCATGTAACGAAGTCCCCGATATAACGAACGCTCCCGAGGAAGAGAAGTCACCAATGGTGCCTCCCCCCGACCCCAGACAATACTGAAACAATTGAAAGAATGACATGTGATTGTTTTCTGCGACCAATCAGGAGAGACCTTACGAGCAGCTCGTACACAACTGGAACGATTTTCTTTACCCGAGAAATAGTAAAATATGTGGACAAGAACCTCCATATAACGAAACCTCGTAAAAGGGAACATATTTTGCCTGTCCCTTGGCACTTCATGATATCGAGGTTCCATTGTAGAGGGGGCTATGATTGGGGAGGGAGCTTATAAACTAAAGTTTACGGTACATGTATGTTACCAGATTATTATACCCGCGGTGTTTTCCTGATGCTCTGCGCGTAGCTCCGCTGGTTTCACACTAGAGACAGATTATCCGTCATCAGTCTGAGACAGATAATCCGCCTTTAAAATCTGAGCAAAATTGATGGATAGATAGTTGCCGATAAATTTAGGCGGATTGTTCATTAACCGTTCCATTTTCAAATTAAGACGTATTATTTGAATCCCCCCCCCCCCGCCCCATTAATTGTCTGACGCGAATTATTTAACGGACAATCCGTCTCTAGTGTGAATACGGCCTATTTCGCTTTTTAGCACGTAAGAGAGAATGTATGAGAACTGCTAAAATTGGGCCTGATCTCAGGTTATCTATATGTCCTTGGGTATACCAGACACTCAATGAAGATGATGTTAACCCATTTTCACTCCTTAAAGTGATTTCTTCTTAAATTGTTCATATTATTTCTTTTCAGTAAAAGGAAGAGATGACGCCAGATGACGGTGGAAGACGTGAAGAAAACACATAAAAAACTTTTAAAATTTGTATGTACTGTTGAATATATTATGAATAAAAGGTTGTGTGAAATTAAAGCAAACAAGTATGCACAGTCTTCGCGAAAATTCAGCAAACCCGACTGCATCCTCTCCGAATCCATAGATATTCCACATATTATTGAAAGCGAGTGTTCAGTTTTCCTTTGCTGTGGTTCTATTAAATGTTATGGCTGAAATATGGCTTTAAAGCTCTTGCCAATAACTTTGAGATATTTAGCTCCCCGGTTAAATGGTCTCAGCTTTTACTTTTCGTGAAAGTAAGTTCCCCGTTCAAGTAGAGAATAGTGAGGCAGGTTTGAAAAGGCTATGGAAAAAGTCGTGGAAAGTCATGGAATTTGAAAAGCTGAGCAGAGTACGAACCCTGATGTTGGAGCACTTAGACGACTGTAATACCCAAATCAACATTGGGAAGAGGAAACGCACACAAGTGTTTCAAGAGATTTTGACGAGTATTGTAGCCTGTCAATGGATTGTGGCGCGAAGTCAGAGAAAATAAGAAGAGCGGTAACCTCTTCGCTGTTTTTCCTCTGACATCTCTCTGCGCCGTCCCCACAATCTGGACGGGCTATTCCGTTGCCGGCACTGTCCTAGTTTAGCTCCGCGGACTGTAGATCATTAGAGACCTTAAGATTGAGGGTTTTCGGCTTTTCCCGCGAACCGAGAAAGTCAAGAAATCACGTGACCAGGGCCTTGCCCTTGGGTCGGGATTGCGGTTTGAGGTTCTTGTTTGTACGGCTAGATCACGCTCCAGAGTTAAGCGATTTACTGCAAGGTTTTTTGTAACCCAAAACATCACAACAATTCTACGTTTGAGAAGAAATACGACTTTTTAGAACTTTTTTGCTTCTTGATAAGCGAATTCTATTTTAAAAAAACAAACATGGAAACCGCTAGACTGCGAGCGGCCTCTCTTTTCCTTCAGGCCCCAGTTGTTCAAAAGCTGGATAGCGCTATCCAGCGGATAAAACACTATCCAGTGGATAGTGCAATTAGTTTCCCTAATACTTATCCACTGGTGAAAAACCGGGGCCAGATTTAGCAAAGGGAGTGCACGCGCGCGCGAGCGTTGAGCGGCGAAGCCGCGAGACGCGAGGAACGAGGGCGTCAGCCCGAGAAGAAAAGAGAGTTAATAAAGTTTTTTTTTTGTCTTGCCTCTCCCGTCTCGCGCCTTCAGTCACGCCCGTGGTCATTTGCGTGTCTCGGGCGTTTTTCTCGACGGACCAAGAAAAAAGAGAGACTGCTCGTAGTCTAGTTAACCGCAGTTTGTAGTAAGTTTGCAGCAAATGATGACCGAACCTCGGTCTTAAGGTCTCTATTACCAAAACGAGAACGCAAAAAAGCAAATTATAGGTTTAATATGCAAAACAACCTTGCACGAACTTTTTGTATATTTCTTGCCGTCACTGCGCGTCAACTAAGTGAAAATGCTTAATTTCACGATTTACGGGAAAAAAGTACAGAGGCTACCCGTAGTTTAGAAACGTATGTATGTATCCGTATGTTACTTGTATGTATTCGTATGTGCCTGCAAATGTGCCTGTATGTATCCGTGTGTTACTCGTATGTCACCCATCGGCACCCATGTGGTGTTTTAGTCAAGATCTCAAATAGGCTTCCCTCTCTATTTTTCCATCCATTTCATTTTATAAACGGTATGGTATTATTGAAAAGCGCAGTGAAAATTAGTTAAACCGAACGTCCCAGTTAGTGCAATCTGCAAGTCTGACAATCGACAATGTTTAATACAAGTTTTCTGGAATAAGACTTAAAACGCTTTATTTTCGAGGATTCATGGAATTTATAGACATTTTAGGAACTGCTTACCCTTTCACAAAGCAAAAGGACAAAACAAAACATATTCAAACACAGTTTTGTTGGTGTTTGTTTATTTTATTAATTCAGTATCTATACCGTAATTCCTGCATTAGATCTTATTAAAGGCAGCGATATCCATGGATTGAACGAGGTCTTCAAACTTTGTTATTTCTTCCTCCAGAAAATCTGTGGAGATTTTGTCATCTTCGATCACACAGTTTATCTGAAGTTTTTTGATGCCATATGCCAGAGGTACCAGTTTGGATGCACCCCATACAAGGCCATCAGCTTCAATGGTGCGAACAAGTCTCTCAACTTCCTTCATATCTAAAAAACAAAAATTTTACAAAAATTAAAAATAGTGTTAACAATCTATTTTAGAATTTACAACCATTTTGAAAACAGCGAACTTCGGGCGACTTGACCGTAAACCCCTCAGTTGTGGCCGATACCTCTTTGGCCAAAGGCCGAAAGCCACACGCAGCTTGGCTCACTATAAAGATTTGAATGAAACCGGGAACAGCGTATGATACCCAAGGTACTTCAGGCGAATTATCAGGCTCAATTTTTAAAACTGGGGTAGCCTGTGCATACATTTGGTATGGATTAGCAGGGGATTCCCCGGATACCATCCTCAGAAGCAACAACATCATTCCTTTTTTTATCTCCTATATTTTAATCACACACTACAGCATGCCTTGAATTGAAACTATAAGGAAGGACAAGCCTTTGGGAAGAACACACACACGCATCTTTGGCCATGCAAACGTAAGAGAAGCAGGTTGGTTGACCTGCTCACGTTAATTGCCTCATCCACTCAGCAAATATACCCTAGCCCGCAAATACAGCCGTGTCTCCTGGCTGGTCGCTATTTAGAACATTAGCCGGAAAGTAACCTCCCATGCAGACGTTGTCTGGGCTTAGTCACGTGTGACGAGCCAAAAAATGTCTGCCTGGGAGGGTAGCATCCAAGGGATGGGGTGCTCTCATAAATTTCAGATAGGTGTGTGCTGCCCAGGGTCTTAAACCCTGATCCTAATTAAGGATGAGACAAACTAAAACTGTCTCCCTTTTTGAGGTCCAAACCCGAAATAATTTTACGAGACCCAATACAAGGAAAAAACAAAAACTAAGAATTAAATGGGAACAAACAAATCTTCCTAACCCTTTGCCTGTTATTCTAAAGGAAATACAGCAATTTAACCCATTCGCCCCTGGAGATTTTGGCAAAAAAAAAACAGTTTTGAAGCTAGTCAAGCGGTTTTCTAGTCACTAATGTGCTATAAAGAGTTAAAACTTAGCACAAAGCTGTTAGCAGGTCGTACACTTCGCAGCCTTCTGATCCAGAATCAAAACATTAGCTTGCAAAGTTCGGGCATGCACAGAAAGCAAGTTTTTGGGTTTAAAAGTGACACAGCAGTCTTGACTTTTACCTTCTCTCCACCCCCCTTTTTTCCCTTTTCTTGCCTCTTTATAGCACGACAGTGACCAGACAACCACTCGACTAGCTTCAAAGCAGGTCCTTTAGCAAAATCTCCAGGGGAGAATGGGTTAAATTGCTTTCCTAATACTCTACTGTAAAGTTCAGTTTAAATGGGTAATTTGTTTCTCTTGTAGCTAGGCATTGACTCACATAAATTATAGCTAGATGATATAATGAGGGTAATGCCCTCAAAAACCATCCCCTCCCCAGCAGCACATACCTATCTACCCATTCATGGGAGTACCCACCCCAGGACTGCCTCCATCTCAACAACATAAATTCCACACTGATGACGCAAATCAAAGTTCACATTGTTTATATTAGTCTTGTAGTCATGGAGTTCCGAAAGTAAATTTGCTTGATGCTAAGTTTCTCCTGTTTTCAAAAGGTTTTGAGTTCTTCTGCAATAGGCATATTACAGTTGTGTGCTCAGTGCCCTGGCCTTTGAATAGAAGTGAGGGGCGGTGACCTTGTTTTTCATATGTAAATGATCATGTTCACAGGCTTGTTAGCATGAGAATACCACAATTTGCACATAAAAAGCAGGAAAGTTTGTAACAAAACAAAGCTGTAAAATGGCCCAGGAGAGATGGTTGTTATTTGCAAGCTTATCAATATACCCCAAAACGTTCCAATTGGTGCCAGGCCTTTCTGAAAGACATGCAACATTACCCTGCATACCACGGAGGGTTGTGACTGATTTTTACAATTCTGTACCTGTCTCGTCATCCCATGGTTTAACATCAATGAGGAGACTGGATTTGGCGATGACTGCTTTTTCTAAAGTAAAAAAGACATTGAAAAAACAACAAAAAAACAGTTAAATATATACACCTCATTGTTATATTGCTGGAATTTTTCCCCAGTAGCACAGTTTCTCAATGGTTACTTTGAGTTCACACATCTGGGTTCGCAAGCTATAGTGATCTGTAAACTGTAAATATTGACCAAGGAGAATCAATTTCATGATTTTGTACACGTAGATGTTTTCATCTTTGGCTCTAAAAACAAATCACTTAATGGCTGGCCCCATGGAAAACTAACACTAAAGTCTCACCATTTCCAGAGGTAGAGCCTCATATTCTTGCAAAACAAAATTAACTGTTCCCAGGGGACCAGTCAATGTTTCTTAAAATTCACTTGACCAATAAAACACAAGCATTAACTTGGATGACATTACATTATCTGAAAAGGTTATACAATCATGCAGAAGCGGTAAAAAAAAAACAAATTGACATCTAGCCTGAAAGCACAGATACCTCAATGAAAAAATATTTGTGTGCAACCTTTACACTGTTTGCTCTCACAGAAAGGGACTTAATTTAAAATCAGTTGAAACATGTAATTGGAATAATGGGTTATTCCAGGAAAGTTAAATAAATAGTGTCTTACTAAAGATTGTGAAATTAAAGTGATTCAAAGTACAAAATTAATCGAAAATTCAACTTCGTGAAATTAATGTGTCACGAAAATTTCATGTAATGACATACATCATGGGAGGGAGTATTTAGCACTAGATCAGAAACAGATTGTAAAAGCTTACTTGTAGCCTTTTTCGCTTTGTATGCTTGTTCCCTTTCTTCTTTGCGCTTTCTGTCCTCTTCAGTTTCCTACATTGCAAAGAAGGAATTCAATGGTCCACTCAAAAATATTATTCAGACATTCTGACTTGGCAATACTCAAGGCTTTGACGTGAATCATGCCTTATTGCACACTCTCATGACTTGACAACTGATTTCTCACACGTTCTCGAAAAGTTATGCTACAAACAGTTTTTGGAGCATCTGTAGGGTTTATTTCCAAGTTAGACAACAAAATCAGTAATAAACAGATGCCTAGCAGTTGCATTTGATTAGTAAAAATGTGGATTGTCTACTTGTTGCATTGTTTATATTCTTCAGTCTACTGTGACTTGCTGCTGCTACTAAATACGTAGACTCACTTTTAAAAAAAACCCAAATCTCTCATTTCAAGAGGCTGCCAACAAAGTTGTGCATACCAGCAGCGACAAAGAAGATTGATGGTAATGTTACAATGTAACTGCTCCAGCTTTGAAACAACATGTGACTTCTATTACCCATAATCCCTGCTGGGATTTGAGACTATATTATTCCTATTTATTTCCTATTTCCTTTTCATATTTTCCATGAGAAAACACTTTCAATGCCTAAATTTTAGGCATTGAAAGTGTTTCCTCATGGAAAATATGAAAAGGAAATATTATGGCATGAATTGAAACTTGAAAGATATGAAATGCGAAACTTGAAAAAATTGAGACAACTTTTTCAAGTTTCAATGCTATTCTTGGAAAAAAAAAATCACCAAAAAAATATTATGGTTAGTGTTCATGGATGAAATTTGTTTGATTCTTCATAACTCTACAGGAACATTTTGTATTTAGCTTAAGGTACCAAGTAATGAGTTCAGCACAGAATTGACCAAAAAGAGCCTTATCCTTGTGACATAGCACCTTTAAGGTTCCTAAAAGATAATACTATAAATACCTCTTCAGAATCAGAACCAAAGAGATCAAAGTCATCATCATCATTCTTTGCTGTGCCATTTGTTGCAGGTCCAGCACCATAGCTTTGAAGATCTTTTTTGACACCAGGAAATTTTGCCTTCTCTTCACCAAACGAGGTTATGTGATTGTACCATCGTAGAGCATGTGGCAGATCAGAGGGTGGGACCCCAGATAATGCTTCGTAAACTACAGTGTCTCCTTGGGATGGAACATATCTGAAATGACAAAGCATATGAGAGGGTTGACAAGTCAGCGTCCCTTCATCTGATTTTCTTTTAGAGGATATACAAAAAACCCTCTATTGGTTGTAAGGCAGTGTACTGCAAAAAATTAATTGTGTCCAAGCCTAGAACTAGTGGATTTTGTGATTATGCTAATGATAACTATTAGCTTGGCATTGTGTGACATATAAAAACTATAAACTTCAAATTTAAGATGGCCTTACTCTTTCGCAACTCTGCCCAATACGGGAATATAGTTTTGCCTGCGTCACCCTACAAAATTTATAAAGTTGTAATGACATCTCTAAGTTGTAATGCCATCTCCGGCCATTCTGGCCAGACATTGTCTGTTGACCGACCGTTATTTTTAGCGCTGACTCAAAAATTCAACATGGAGGAAAGGGTAGCATAATGAGTATGGAAACATGTTGAATGAATGATAAAACAATAATTATTTTGCCTTTCATATGAAATGAGGAATAATAATTATTCAGATCTCAGAGGGTGTGATCCACCTGGGCCGAAAACACCTCTGTGATCTACATAATGCTTTATATCACCCTCATCCAATTTCTATTTAACAAATATTCCTCGAGCCCAAATGGGCTCTGAGTCAATAGCCCATGAGGCCGAAGGCTGAATGGGCTATTGACTCAGAGGCCATGAGGTTGAGAGGAATAATTGTTTTCGTAAAATCCAACTAGTTGGTCAAAAATATTGAGAATAAAAAAATTTTAGCTAGTTAAAAGCGAGACTTTAATCCTTTTTTGCCGCCCAAAAGCCTGCGCTTTTCGCTACTAGGGGGCTATAACATATAGCCTAGTAGTAGCTCAACCAATCAGACACAGCATTGTTAATAGACCACTAGTTGGATTTTACTAAATAATATTACTCAAGACTAAGAAAAGTAAAACTTAATACTCTACTAATTAGTTTTAACAAAGGATGCAGTATTTTGAAATTTCACATTTTTAATTTCATCAGAGATAAATGAATGAACAATCTTTAAAGCTTGCAAAGGGTTTTTGCACCATAATAATTATTTACAACTTCACCAAACTCGTATTTGTACCATACTCTTAAGAATGTACAACGTTATACGCAAAGAAAATTTTTAATAAGAAGGTTGACTATTCGATCCCCTGTGATTCCCTGAAAACATCTAGTGAAATTTCAAGATTGAAGAATGTAAGAGGCTAAGGTTGATCTAAAGTCTGGGTTCTAAACTTAAGCTTACTTCCCTCTTGAACTGTACAAAAATTAAATTCTCGTGAAGAAATAGCTTATAACCTCAAATGCACGTGGACGAAACATATTCTCTTTCTTGTACGCATTTGATAGTGAACAAAGACATGATACGTACCCCTCGATGTAGCTGTTATGTTCTAAATATGTATTCAAGGCTTCCAAGCCTGATCTGTTCTTTAGATCACCAAAACCCATGTCTTTGATTTTCCAGAGAATTTTATTCGAAGCCGTTCTGCCACGGAAAGAGGAACGAGAAATCCCACAATGCAATTTTATTACTGCTTGGACTTGTGCCCAGTCTTTTAGGCAGATAATGGTACCCCGTCCACAATGTTTTTGATAGTCTGGGACCAGGCTCCGCAGTGGGAGAAAAAGGGAAAACACGGGGTCAAATAGGAAAAATATCGGCGAGCGAACCCTTCCCACTCCCCTCAGACTACACCACTCGGCTCGCTTTGCTCGCTAATTGTTTCCCTTCCCTCCCCCCCCCAATTCGGAGCCTGGTCCCAGGCTATCTTTTGATAGGGACCACTTAGGGAATACCGGAATAAAATTATAAAAATGAGAAGTCCAAAGACTACTGCAAAGCTGATTCAGAACAACGTTGGAAAGAGCGCTTTAAAATCTATAAAGCTACCAAGTTTGAAAGTTGTACATTTGAAACAACTTCGCAGAGTGGCGAAATTTTACAGAGGTTTGTATTTAGTCGGCAAACTTGCGAGGTTATATGCTGCTGCAGTTCTGCTTATTCCGCGCGGCCTATACGGTTTGGGTCACGTGGTCCGTGCGCACGATCTTATGGTAAGAGGAGGCTGATTTCTACACAGGCGAAGAGGAGCGAGGAGCTCTCCTACGCCTCCGTTATCCTCCATTTTAACCGCCCACTACTCGGGCTATTTAACAATTATTCCTCGAGCCCGAATGGGTTCTGAGTCAATATCCCATGAGGCCGAAGGCTGAATGGGCAATTGACTCAAAGGCCATGAGGGCCAGAGGAATAATAGGCCATTTGCACTAAGAGGTCATGTGACATAGTTTTCATGAAAATGAAAGCTATATGAGTTTGCCTTCGACAAACGATTAGTGGGTCATATCTTAAACATAATAATAGTGATTTGGTTTTTCAAGCCCGCACCATTTTCTTAAAATGAGTAAGTTCCTCGCTGGTCACGTGACCAAAATGTGATTTTTAAAATTATGAATTATGAAATTAAAGTGATTCAAAGTACAAAATTAATCGAAAATTCAACTTCGTGAAATTAATGTGTCACGAAAATTTCATGTAATGACATACATCATGGGAGGGAGTATTTAGCACTAGATCAGAAACAGATTGTTATAGCTTACTTGTAGCCTTTTTCGCTTTGTATGCTTGTTCCCTTTCTTCTTTGCGCTTTCTGTCCTCTTCAGTTTCCTAAATTGCAAAGCAGGAATTCAATGGTCCACTCAAAAATATTATTCAGTCATTCTGACTTGGCAATACTCAAGGCTTTGACATGAGCCATGCCTTATTACACACTCTCATGACTTGACAACTGATTTCTCACACGTTCTCGAAAAGTTACGCTACAAACAGTTTTTGGAGCATCTGTAGGGTTCATTTCCAAGTTAGACAACAAAATCAGTAATAAACAGATGCCTAGCAGTTGCATTTGATTAGTAAAGATGTGGATTGCCTACTTGTTGCATTGTTTACATTCTTCAGTCTACTGTGACTTGCTGCTGCTACTAAATACGTAATCTCACTTTTAAAATAAACCCAAATCTCTCATTTCAAGAGGCTGCCAACAAAGGTGTGCATATCAGCAGCGACAAAGAAGATTGATGGTAATGTTACAATGTAACTGCTCCAGCTTTGAAACAACATGTGACTTCTATTACCCATAATCCCTGCTGGGATTTGAGACTATATTTAGGCATTGAAAGTGTTTCCTCATGGAAAATATGAAAAGGAAATATTATGGCATGAATTGAAACTTGAAAGATGTGAAATGGGAAATTTGAAAAAATGGAGACAACTTTTTCAAGTTTCAATGCTATTCTTGAAAAAAAAAAATCACCAAAAAAATATTATGGTTAGTGTTCATAGATGAAATTTGTTTGATTCTTCATAACTCTACAGGAACATTTTGTATTTGGGTTAAGGTACCAAGAAATGAATTCAGCACAGAATTGACCAAAAACGGCCTTATCCTTGTAACATAGCACCTTTAAGGTTCCTAAAAGATAATACTATAGATACCTCTTCAGAATCGGAACCAAAGAGATCAAAGTCATCATCATCATTCTTTGCTGTGCCATTTGTTGCAGGTCCAGCACCATAGCTTTGAAGATCTTTTTTGACACCAGGAAATTTTGCCTTCTCTGCACCAAACGAGGTTATGTGATTGTACCATCGTAGAGCATGTGGCAGATCAGAGGGTGGAACCCCAGATAATGCTTCGTAAACTACAGTGTCTCCTTGGGATGGAACATATCTGAAATGACAAAGCATATGAGAGGGTTGACAAGTCAGCGTCCTTTCATCTGATTTTCTTTTAGAGGATATACAAAAAACCCTCTATTGGTTGTAAGGCAGCGTACTGCAAAAAATTAATTGTGTCCAAGCCTAGAACTAGTGGATTTCGTGATTATGCTAATGATAACTATTAGCTTGGCATTGTGTGACATATAAAAACTATAAACTTCAAATTTAAGATGGCCTTACTCTTTCACAACTCTGCCGAATACGGGAATATAGTTTTGCCTGCATCACCCTACAAAATTTATAAAGTTGTAATGACATCTCTAAGTTGTAATGCCATCTCCGGCCATTCTGGCCAGACATTGTCTGTTGACCGACCGTTATTTTTAGCGCTGACTCAAAAATTCAACATGGAGGA